CATTCCTGCACACTAAATTTGCAAATATTCCATGTTAAGGAATCGTCTTGCATTTGTTGTATGAATGAACCCATGTTAAGCATGGGCTGTATTAAGGGGCTTAAAACATCTAAAAAAAACCCCTTAGACTAATGTCATAGTTTAGAGTGGTAAACTAAAAAGCCCATATTTCATTAACCCAGGTTATTTGATGTATCTCTCTGCTAACTAGCACTGTTGTATTTTAACTGGGTAGCAGGGAAGCTCTAACTCCCAGCAACAAAGGGTTAATATAATTATAGTTAGAAAAGTCTTGTTACTAGAGGACATGTTTTGATTATTAGATCAGATGAAGATAAAGAAGCAATAATTTTGGAAGTATTCCTGTATTGTTTCATTAAGTCATAGAGTATTAAAGAATTCCCCCAAGATATGATCTGAGAACATTGCTTTAATTTGTGAAACTGTGATTCATTTTTTGTGGAGGCAACCCTTACAATCTCAGTTATTTCAGAAGCAATTCCTCTATAATCAAACACGAGATCAACACATCACCACTGAGACTTGGTTCTTTGTACAACAGATCTCAGACACAGGTTTTCCCAGCACTTTGGGGTAAAAGTATGTATTTTGAAATATTTTTATAGTGCAACAAATAAGGTTAAAGAGGGTTGAAATGACTAAAACTTTATCAATAGAGTCACTGCATCAGACACTATCAACAGGAACCTAAATACGGAGCATTAGCCAGGCAAGCCTATGAGAAAATGGAAGGAGATTACTGAAATGAAAATCAAAGACTTGCTCTGTCATTTCTATGATCCTATTCCCTTTGAAGTTAATGGCTAAACTAATACTGACCTCACCAGGAACATGCTTTATTCCAAGAAAATCTGTCAAGTGCAAGGACTCAAGATATTTTCTACCAGGCTTTATGAAAAAATAAAGAAAAACCTGTAACATGGATGTAGCCAGCAAAATGTGTCCCTCAAAGCCAGGCCAGCTCCTTCCTCCCTCATTAAGAGTGGTGTCCCCACGGTGACAGATGGGCAGAGACCGATACTGTCAATATACGAACCTCATGGGTTTCCTTTGCTTTACTGAATTTTCATAAAAATTCTGCAAGGCTGTCTTAAAACATGCAGAAAGCATACTGAATACAACACTTCAATTTTCATCCCTAACAGACATTTCTCCACATAAATTACGCTATACCAGAGCAAAACTAGTATCCACTAAAAAATGTCAGAATTAGAACAATTTGTAAGAGTTTCAATTGAACATTAAATCATTCTGATAGAGGAAAGCTACCCACACCACAGTCAGAGCTAAGTGGGTACTATCGGCCTCCTGCTTTCAAAAAACTCTCAGACTATGAAACCTGCAAAACTATGAAGTCTTTAATGGAATAGATAAATTTATCTTGTTTACACTCTGAAGCTCATAGATGGTAGAACAACGAAAGAGACAGGAGTTACAGGAAACTGATTCATAACACATGTCAGGAAACATTTCTCATGCTTACTGATAGATCACAACCGTGTGGGCTAGCGCACAAAGAAAGTAAAGCTGCTGAAGCAAAGGGTAAAAGGGTCACTCACAAAATTGTTAGATGTTTCTTCTGGTTTTAGTGCAGTGCTACTGGTATGCAAATGAGTGTAGGACTGGACTGCTAATTATAAATGGGAATTACTGTGCAGCAAATATGCAGTTAAAAAAACAATTAAACGGTTATTAAGGCTAAAAAGCCTTCTCTCTGTGTCTTGATTTTACTTGTTTTTATGCTCTAAATGATACACTTTCCTTTTCCAGTGGAGAGAACTGGAGGGGGTAGCAGGTAAATTCAAAGATAGACCATAGCACAATAAACATTCCTGGCAAATCTGCAACAGCAATCACTGGAATGGGAATGAAAAGTTTTAAAATCTAAGAAGGATTTTTGGTGCCTTTTCAGTTCAGCTATTTCACTACATATCCATGGGAAATATATCTTGGGTTTTGTTGGTGGTTTTAGTTCTAAAGGTAGCCATGTTCTGCAAAAACAAATTTCAAAACAATGAGAATTAGGTGAATTCAATTTCACAAAACTGCGATCACTTAGAATAAAATGTCACAGAAACTAGAATTCAACATCATCCTGAAGAAGTCAATGGATTTTACGGTGCCTCTCAGAACCACAGAAAACTTACATCAGTAAAACCCAATATTGGTATGTCAGTTATATCCTTCGAAAGCTGCTGAGCACAGCACCGAGCCTTACTTTAAGTGTGCTGTTCTTGGCGGTCAGCTGCTGCTCCAGCTGTGAGATTTGGCTGCTGGAGTTCTCCCGCAGCTTGGTGAGGCTGCCCTGGAGTCTCTGGACATCTTCTACGAGCTGGGCGATTTCCCGCTCCTTCGCAGCCAGTTCTACTTCCAAGCTGGACCGTGTTAGCACCTCGATGGCCTGCTCCTAATGTGAAAAAAAAAGTATTAGACCACATAAATAAAAAAAGGCAACAAGCTTGAATTCAGGGCAGTTAGGTAAGGACCAAGCATGGCATCGGGTGGCATGAGAGACAGAAACAATTTCTGAATCTGGGACTTCCGTAATTGACTGCGTGAATCTGGAAGATGAACCTTTCTACTCCCCAGGACAGCTCTTTGGTAAAATAGGGATAATGGAGAGAATAGATTTCCCTGTTTCATAAGTGCACTGGAAAGATGCAGCCGTGAAAGCCAAATGATTCTATTTAAATCTATTTATTATTAATAGTCCAAATGCTTTGACAACTATGAAAATCTGTGCTTACAAAATACTAATCAGATAAAATATTCTGAAGTAATGGAGCAGAATTTCTTAATCAGGAACGGCAGAGTCATGTGCCTTTGGCTCTTCATATGCATACTGCACGTCTCAGGCAAAATTGTCAAAAATTGCCCCAAACTGCTGCTTCCAATGAACTTGCTCCTTGCATGAAAATTGTTCCCTGTTAACATTACTGCTAGCAGCTAAAGCCTCTCCTCCATGGGGATGAAGACAGACGTGACAGCTGTAAGACAAGGCCATTTCTCCCTTTGCTCTCCACTTTCAGAAATTCCCTCTCCTAAATCAGGATCTTTCTTCTTCCAGTTTCCCACGGCTGCAAAATCTGTCCTCAAGTCTGAAACTGCCCCAACAGACCAATCTTCCAGTAGGACAAGCAATAAGAGAGGACAGAGAAGTTAAGAAGGTAGATCTATTCAGGAAAGATAATACAGACTAATTGTACCATCTCTTTTGTCTCCTTTTGTGTTAAGAGATCAATAGCTATAACACATCGGAGAGCTCAGAACCTCTCTTCCATGAAGAGCATAAGGAAATCCTTGTGCAGATCTGGGGAGCACGAGGCAGCCCAACGATGAATACTGTTCCATTAAAAAGCCTAAAACAAAGGTTAATGGCTGTTCCTCAGAAAACACCAGTGAAGTAGGAAAGAATCCATTTACCAAGAGAGAGACAATGATCGCAAGCATTATACCAAAGACCCTACAGCGAAAGAGCTGAAAATTCAACCCACCGGTGCTGTCACCCAAGCACCTTCCTTACAATTCAAGATGACATTGCAGCAGATTGAAATATACTCCATAACCTCTTTTCTGGAAAATACAGGCACAACAAAATACCTTTTCCATACCTTCTAAACACTTAGCTTGATTCTCAGTGACTACATACCATTGTATCTCACAGAAAGCTACATGTACGAACAGCAGTTAACAACGCTCTCCTATTACAGTGAATTATACTTTTAACTTGAAAAAACCTCTAATTTGCTTGCATGGAACATCACAAGTTGTATAATCATCTGCTGCTTGTGCCTATTGAGACTAGAACGTAGAGTCTGAAATAAGATAGATAATGATCATTTTCATCCTGCAGTAGTTGTCATATTAAATATAAATGAAGTGCAGAAGTACTATTAAATACAAGAAAGACCTAATGTTAAAATAATGATAAGACTAGGACATGAGATAGGAAGAGGCAGGTAATTCAGAGTTAAAAGTGATATTCAGGCTTGTTATTTTTTTATTTTTTGTTTTGCAGCCTGCTTGTCTATCTTTTGACTTCTCTGAGAAAATACTGGGTTGTATTAATAGGCGACCGAACAGATCTGGAGGACTTATGGTTTGTTACTCATTCTCTGCAAATGTATTTTAAAGGCAACCATGTGTTTCTTCAGTATCAGTGTCAAGCATGTATATGGCTTGCAAGAAAAAAGCAATATAAGGAGCATGATTTCTTTTGTCTGTTAAATCTGCTGCTTAGAAGTAGACTAAATTTCACTTAATTGCATATTTACATTTAAATACTCCTATTTAAAGACTCCTTTGACAAACAAAAATCAAAATAATCTGTCTGCTCATCTGTGATACCTGTTAACCCAGGATCCAGCTGGAGTCCTGTAATAGCACTCTGTGCCTGCAAGGTCCGATCAGCAGAGTCAGCGCTACCAACCTCCCTAAACAGCGGTGTTTGCTTTATTTAGAAACACACAGAGAAGGCAACAAGCAGCCAAACCTTTAGGAGTACAGGATATCTTCTCAATTTTCTAAGCTTCTTTTATTGGATTTATAGGTGTAATTCTCCGTTTAGATATATTCAGTGAAAACTGGAATGATACTGAATTTATTTCTAGTTCCTCTGACAGCCCATACACTAAGAGTAACAAGGCCTCGAAATGGGCAGGCAGCAGGTCCCCACTAATGCAACCAGCTCTGGCCAAAGTTGGTCCCCTCGGTCTGAAGCTCCATGCCTCTGCTGTGCCCTCCAGGCAGGCATGTTCTAATGGCCCACCAAGGCACTCTTTGTTATACCGCATTGCTGCCTTTATTTTTCCTCTGCTGATGCTCTTACCAACACGAAATAATTTCTGAGAGTTGCTGCTATCCGCCTGGACCGGCAGCTGTGGAGAGCTATGGATCACCGTACCAGTCACCACGGAGCAGAGCGACCTCTGTCCTTCCCGTGGTCTTCTGCAGCCACCAACCCCTCAGAAGCTTAACCAAACCACAATCCCAAAGGAACACAATTCCATTGCAGTTAAAATATTACTCCAAACAGGTATTTTTATAGCTGCGAGCATAAATTGAAAGAGCTGTGCTGCGTGCTGCAGGAATGTCAGAAACCTGTAAGAGTCAGTAAATATTTTCTCTCACCACATCAGGTGCCTTCTGGATCTGCGTAGCAAGTTGGAGAGATTTGTTAGCTGACGAGAGCTGCTCCCTTAAGGTCTCTGCCTCTCTCTGAGCCACCTCTGCCCTCTGAAGGAAATGAAAAGGGGTGAAAAGAGAAAGTACATTCAGTTTAACAACTGACAATTATTACAAGAACATTCATCAATTCATGCCTGACTGAATATAATTGATTTTCCTAAACACTCAACCTAATAAATGTTAGAAAAAAAACATAGAATGTGATGGATTTTTATTTTAAACAGTACAAGGAAGAAATAATTGAGCGATTATGACAGTAATTTAACGCTAGGAGCAAGGAATCCCCTGCTGATACTAATGCTGCGGCCCACTGAATTTCCCAGACTGAATAAATACAAGTGGAAATGGAGTCTTTTTATTCAATTTCTTTCTATTCTCATAGACCAAGCAGATTTTATTGCAAGGTTCCTCATGGGAATAATTCTCACGGGTAAACGCTGAATTAAAAGATATTCTGACCATTCTCTCTAAAACACATACAATGTTGTGGGCTGTCTTTCTTCAGTAATTATTTCCCAAAACATGAATTGTTAGATTCTGTTCTTTCAGCAGGTCTATTTATTCAACAATATTTAACCCTAAACTGACAATTTTGCGCAGATCAGTTACCAACTGCTGAGGATTTACGCAATATCTGATAAGCCTGTGACTTGGCTACCAGACAAAATTCTCATACAAATATTGAATAATAGCAGAAAGGAGAAAGGCAGAATTATGAGGCAAGATTGTCTGTACAAGAGTTTGGGTAGAGACAGATGGATCAGTAACTTCAGGCAATAAAGAGCAGCAAAGTCCTTTCCATAACTGTTTATAAACTTCTGTTAAGAAAGTGGAACAAAACCCCGTTGTTTTTACAGTATATACTCCTCTTGGTCAGACTTTCTTCTCTCCTTTTTGTAAAAATCTGGTTTATTTTTATAAAGCCACATTGCTTACCTCCTTGAGAAATGACTGATTTTCACCTGGGCTACCCCATGCAAATCATGCTGTACTTTCAGCAGAAAACAGCTACAATAATTTTCTATATCTCCACTTCCAAGACCTACCACCAACTCTTCCAAACCCATGAACTGCCACCAATCAAGGTCAAAACTTTTCTTGACCAACTTCTACACTGATGGGTCCCTTCCTTTACTGAACAATAAATTCATTTTTAAGCCACCAAAACTGCCACATTTCTGTGTGCCAGACTCCCTGCTTTTTCAGCTAATCCTTTTGAAAACCTAAGTCATCTAAAATAGCAAATATAAAACCTATACCCCTGTGTGTATGCATGGTCTTTGACTTACTAGTCAAAGCAGAGACTCTGTCTGCATGTTTAATCAATCAGTAAACTCACGGCAATCAAATACTAAATGCATCATCTGTGCTATTTGCTCACAACATTATATTAAACGATTTTGCATAGGTTCTACAGCTGTAATTAAAATGTAATTGTAAAATGTACAGTAAGATGGCTCTAATAATCAGAGCATGGGACACAACCTATTCTGTGCATGAAAAAATGGTAGCAGCATTAAAAAGGCACAAAAAGAGAGAGTTTATGTTGTTTATGCAGCTGGATAATATTAGGATAAAAAACTGAGCTAACAATACAGATTGAGATAAATTATTTTCTCGCACTTTATTAGATGTGGCTGTACATATATCAATCTAATAACTGCTAAACAACTCCAGCAAAGCAGGACAAGTTACTACACTGTGGCACTCGCTCTTGCATCTACTGCTGTATAAGTAATGGGTTTTGCAGCCTTAAGCAATTCTGCTGATGGCTTCCATTCACAGCAGCATTGTTTTGAGATTCTATTCAGCTTGCATGCAAGCAAACCACAGAGGATATTTCTAATAGATGTTACATCTGCATATACAGTAAGCTGTCAGCTGCCCTTTCTGCATAGCCTCCCCAGCCAATTCAGAACACCTGTTGTAATCCTGTGAATAATATTAGACAAGATTTCATACTATGCATTGTTAAAAATACATCAACAGAAACTTTGGGCAGTTCTGTTTGGGAAATACTGGTCAATTATTCTCTTTTTTTTTCCAGAATGGAAGCTTTTTAGAGCCAGAATTATAGATGTGTTCAGTGTCTGGAAAGCACTTTTGGGTGCTGTTGCAATATAAATTATAAATTACACACAAAAACCTGTTAGAAGAATGGTAGTTTCAAAATTGAGCACTTAAAAGTTTTGAAAAGCCAACCCCAAGGCCGCAGGTATGTTTGGCCACCCCCTGTGCGCAGGGCTTCGGGAGGCAGGCTGGAACCGCACAGTAACATACTACTGCTTTTTTCCAACAAGACCCCCTACTTCATTCAACTCTTGGGATGAATATTGCTCGGTGAATGAATATTTTGCTTTGCCCTCCTTGTTCCGTGTGTGACCTCTGTGGCTTATTTACTGCAAACTAATCCCACCTTCCTCTGCAGATAGGATTAATCGCTTCCTCATGGGCTGTGCTCTGGTTTCCACCATCAAAGGATCTAAGTGCTTCAGAAGCGTTAATGAATGCACTGGCACAAACCCCCAGTTTGAGCTATATGGGTTCCCCAAGCCCCCCGCATATTTCCATTTGGGTGCATGGTGGTGTCAACCACAACTGCATGGCACGGCACGGGCTGCGTTTGGCTGTTTCTCACCTGCTCGCCTGCACCCGAGACCCCATACAGCGGCTGTGGTGCTGCTCCCCTGAAAAAACCTCTGGTTTTGCCTCGCTGACTCCTGCCCCTCTCTCCTTGTCACTTTGTCCCCTTCCTAGTTCATTCTGGCCACTGGAAGCACCATTTCTGTCTTCTCTGAGCTTCACAGTGCCTTTAGCTTCAGGCAGGCAAAAGCAAGCTCGTACCTTGCACAACCTGACGAATGCACACAAACTTGCAGAATTTGTCTTACCCCCACGACTTCCTCCTTCCTCTTTTCCTTGCTGCTTCTTCTCCAAATGTCCTCGCAGCAGCCCTGTCCCGGTCCTTCTCCTCCCTCCCTCCCCCCCACGAACCCCCTCTCCACTTCTCGCTCTCCGTGCTCTCACGCCGAGGTTGCCCGTCTCCCCGTCACGGCAGGGGCAGTCTGGAGGGGCAACTCCCCTCCCAGTGCTCCCCGTCAAAGTGGCACTGAACCTTACATTACAACCAAGAGAAGAAAAACCTGGCTGGTTAATGTTCACCCAGCTGGCGCAGCGATAGACTGCAGCGTGCTTGGGACAGGCACAGACATCAAAGCCGACAAATTCAAACCAGATTCTGTTGAGTTTGTGTGAACTCGGGTTTTTTTAAGACACTTATAGGCTGGCCAAACTTGGGGCTTTTTTTCTTTTGCTACTTGAAGCAACAGAAGATACAACCCTGAGAAAAAGGCAAACCCTCCCTCATCAAATGCCAAGCCCCTTCTCTTAAATATGGGCACAGCAGGCTCCTCACCAAAACAGCAAGAACAACTCTTAACATGTGGGGAAAAGTGGATTTTTTTTTTTCCTAATCTTGTTCTTAGAAATGGTTGAACAATTTTTCCTGAAATAAGAAAAGAGAGTGCAGCCAGAGACAGACGCCCAGTATGGAAAATGGCTAAAACCTAGCAATCTTGCACAACTTGGAGCCACTGGGAAGTTCACGCAACCTTCTCTTTGTGTGAAACTATCCCACTTCAGCTAAGAAATATGTGTGCCATAGTACAGTCGCTTTTCATCAGTCAGTGCTAAAACTCTTGGTTTCTTACTTACAAATCTACCATGCGCAGCCTAGAAAAACCATGATGACCAGTGACAGTCAACACTATTGGCCTTGATAGAGATCATGCAAATCCAGCATTGTCAAAAAATGCTGTTTTTCTGGATAGCTCAGTCATACAATTGCTCCTAATTTCCTTACTGCTGTTTTTCTAGCATAGAGCTACCTCTCTGGTAACAAAACATTTCAAAATACTTTCATTCTTATTAATATAGCATGTAAATATTGTACTGTTCATAGTGGAGCCAGTAGGTCATGACGGTAATGCTGCCTTGTGCTTTCCAATTAAAAAAAAAAAAAAAAAAAAAAAAAAAAAAAAAAAAAAAAAAAAAAAAAAAAAAAAAAAAAAAAGCCTTACACAATATATCCAGTTTAAATTATTCTCATTGTTTCCTGACAAGATAATGAACAGCATGAACTGAGTACTCTTCTACTTACAGTAAAATGTTAATTTGATCAAAGACCAGTGGTGTGAATAGCAAAATGAGACACTTACAAGCAAAAAAGTATAACCTTTCCTTTAAAGTTCCACCAGGCAAACTATATTTCCTTATTACATGCTAAATTCAGTGCTATACGCGGCAAAATCTTCCTATGGACTAGGAGTGTATATTATCACAAGTAATTCTCCTGAAGTTAATGAGCCCGGTTATGGCAGTAATCACCATACTTGGTTTTAAGCGCTTGAAGCTGACATTCTTACGTGCGAGCTGCCGCAAACGCTATGTTTCTCAGAGTACGAGATCAATTAAAGCACACTGGTTCAATGTGCTTTAATATTCTGACTTTTGAGATATAAAAATTTATTCTAAAACCTTTAAACGACCCTAGCTTTCACAGAACAGCAGCAAGGTTATCAGAAAAATCTGTGACATGAAAGACTCTTCAGGGCTCTGGCACCTATTTTTTCCAGCAATGGAGAATTACATGAAAAAAAGAAAAAAAAAAAACCTCCAACAAACAGAAGAGGTTGGGTTGTCTTCATTCTTGTCTTCAGGCTATTGCACTTTCCTTTGCGCTCTGAAAGGCTGCCAGATAAACGTATTCCCAATTGAAAGCCAAGCATTTACAGGAAACTGCTGTGTTTGTATGAAAATAATATTAACCATATTTTGCCTTTATACAGCACTTCTCCATGCAAGGATCTCAGTGCACTTTATAAAGTAAATGTTATTATTCCCATTTTACAGATAGTGAAATCACAGGATTAAGGGAATGACCTCATCTGCTATAAAATGGCATAACTATGCCGAATTCAGTGGGGCTATGGCACACCACGATAGCAGAGGATCTCGTTCATTGCAAAGGGAGTCAGAAATAAAAAGCA